TAAGCTATATTATTATATATTTTGTTTGGGTGATAGTGAGATCGGTGTTGCGACACTGTGAGCCAAACAATCATGTGTTGAGTGATGGCAAGATCGGTGTTGCTAAACTGTGAGCCAAATAGTCTTGAATGGGTGATAGCAAGATTGGCATTGCGACATCGTGACCTAAACATATGCGATAATGACATTATTGTTACATTTAATTGTTGGAATGAAGACAAGATCAAGGTAGTGGCACCGTGAGTCTAATAATTTCGTTTGGGATGATAGCGAGAGCGACGTAGTGTCGTGAGCTAATCGGACCTGAGGGATGACGAAAATACCCTACAGGCCCGAGGTTGACATTAATGTTATGTTTAAAGATCATTGTTGGAGAATTACAATTCACCGGCAGAATTGGTGTCTGTAATACCATACTTATATGTTGGTAGTTGAAAAGGGTTTAGAAAGTTAATCTTATGATATTGTGTTGAAATTTATTTCTGATATTGGTTGGTGTTTGAATTATGAGAAGGGATTGATGAGTCATATAGACTCACGGAGAATGTTGGGATTTTGTGTAAGTGTGATGAGTAAATATATATCCTGGAAACTGATGTTATGAACCTAGAAAGTATAGTTTGTAACTGTACTCACGGCATGGTGATATATGTAGCACAAAACGGAGGCAATAATATTTTGTCATAAAGTTAATAGTGAAGGCAACGTACTTTGGGGATTATGCGGCACGACAAGAATAATTGTGACGCGGTGTGAAAGTAGATTGTTATACTTTTTCTTAACAAAAATGTAGTGACAGATGGGAACTGTCAGGAACATTATAAGAGTGTGACGTGGTCATAATAGTATCTGTTACACAGAAAGTAGATTACATATGTTGATATATGTGATAATATTGATGTACAGGAGATTCGATTATTTGAATACTGAATTTAAAGTAAAGCATTCTAATGAGATACTTTATCATATAAACAAGGTTGAGACGAAGGAGTTTGTGATTATGTAAGATAAGGAAAGAAAGGGATTGGAGACTTAGTTAGAGTATAACCCATCAACTTGTCAATGTTCAAATCTAGTGTATTAGAAAGGTTGGAAATAACCTGAAGGAATGTTTATGTTGTGGGACATAAAAGTTTTACGAGGTGGTATCCTTGGTTATAAGCTTACCTATAGGATTATAGTAGTGTAATGGAAGCATGTAAGTTTGTGGATAGTAGTATGTGATGTTGTATCAGAATGAGAAATTTTTTATTGAGGTGAAGTCCTCTGTAGAAAGTAAGTGTTTATTAGAGGATCTATGTAAATTGATTCATGTTTTAGTTTTTGAATTGTTTCTCAAGTGGACTATGTGGTGATTAAGTTCAAGATAGTAGGTATATTTTGAATACCTAGTGAAATTAACCACTTTGTTGGTACGGAATAGATTAGTGTGATTGAGAATAATTAGTTGATTGTCGAAAAGATGACATGGAAAGAAGAAAGATACGTGACTTTTAAAAGTAGGATGGGCGATTTACCCAAGTATATTATGAGAATTTAAAAGATGGATGGTAGAAATTATATAGATGAAAATATTAAGTAACAAACTCTATAAGAGTATGAGAACAAGTATAGTTACCTGAATAATTAAGGAAGTGATTGAATGATACTGACCTTTAAGGTTAGCAATAATAAAAATCTCGTTATAAGTCAAGTGTATGGAATATCAAGATGAAATCCTAAGGAAAGAAACGGTAGGTGTGCCATATAGTCTGAGTTGTATATGTTAGTTATTGTTGGCTAAGTATAGGCCATAAAATCAAATACCAGATGTTAGTTTAGAATGATTCATTTTTATGAAGGCGATTGGTCCTAAATCATAATATGGTCCACGTATGATTACTTGGATAGAAATTCGGTTGATAAGATACATATAAAGAATTGAGATGGAGGATAGAACCCAACAATCTTGTTGACTGTAATGATAAGGTTCATAATGATTTCGTATTTTGGGGTAGTCTTAGTGACTGTAATATCCCAAATACGAAATTATTGGATTTAGTGGTAGTCTTAGTAAATATTGGTATAGAATGACGAAAGGTATGTTGAATGTAAGGAGTGATAAAGTAGGTTATTATGACCTAGTTGTAGCTTGCCGATGAGATTTCGAGCACATAATCTTCTTAAGGGGGAGAGAGCTTGTAATACCCATTTTTGATAGAAGGTAATATTGTTTAATTATATACATGAGTTAGTGGAAGAAAGTTATAGATTACCTTGAGTTGGTTCCATGGAAATAAAGATCGTTGAAAAAGGAGTTTATATGAGGAAGTTATGACCGTTTAAAGTTAGGATGAAAGCATGTTGCTATTTCGAGAAAGTCAAAAAAAGTCAAAGTCGAACGGTCAATGGTGGCTCGCAACGACGTGTCGTAGTCTTCACCACAATGTGGTAGTTAGTGAATCACCAAGACACATGTCGAGCGCTGAAGGTCATGTGGCAGAGGACAAAATACGTGGCAAGTTGGTAACTAGCTGAACACTGCAGAGTGGGCAATAGACTACCATGGCATGGTCATGCTCATGTATAAATAGATTTCATTTATCTCGTTTTGAGGGTTTTTGTGACTTCGATCGGAGCTGCGACTTGGGAGGTGTTTCCGAGGAATCATTATCGTTGTATTATACTAGTGTACGAGAGTACGTGAATAGATTTATAGGATCAAGAGAGGTATATTTTATCCGATTTTACATAAATACGTTATTGTAATATTGTTTTGGGGGTTGTTATAGTTGACTATGTATTATGGGATTTTGTGATACAGTGTTATTACAAACCACGATGAGTAGTTGAATATTTAATGTGAATGGTAAATGTTATATATCCTAGGTTACCGGGAATTTATAGACTGGGCAAACGGCTTATGGGGTTAAGTCGTTAGGTGGTTGAAATTGAAAACTTGATTAGTTTGGTAACAAATAGTTACCGGGTTTAGCTAACGATCAGGTAACTGATCGTTGTGGTTTATATGATAGTAAGTTTAGACATTTTCTGACGAAATTGATATATTGTCCAAATAAGTCTGGACAAGTGATGGTTTGGGAAGCAATAAAGAGCTTGAGGTCGGAATTATAGTTAGTCTTCACTAACTAACCGGGTGAGTAACCTCACATCTTTTCTAGATATATATTGTCCAAATATATGTTATTATTGGAATGCATTGATTACATGTTAAATAAAATAATGTGATTATTGTGAATTGTTATGTTTAGTATTGGAACATGTAGGGTTATACTTGTGGTATGGTATTGGATAATTAAAGGTCAATGACGAACTTAGTGTCTAAACGCTATGTTTGTATACAGTTAAGAAATACATGAACTGCTAAGGGGTATTTGAAACTTTTAGAGTAACATGATTATTGGAATGATTATAATTATTGCTTTATGATGGTAGTCTTGGTGGTGAAATTCCATTAGTAGAGAGATGTAAATTAACGATGGACTCGGTATCTATAACCCTATGTTCGAAAGATTGTGGTAGAAGGGGTAATGGTAGTCTTGGTAACTGTAATATCATTACTAGATGAATTTAATAGTTATGTAATATGTAATACCTTTACGTGAGTGTAAGTCTACTATGTCTTCTGAGTAATTGAAATGTTTGATAGCATGGTTAGTGACATTGTACCGTTTGTATACATATATGTACTGGAACAAAGTAATTTTGTTGGTTGCAAGGTAATATGATAAGGTTGTATTGTTATTGATGGAATTATAGCAATAAAGATATAATATCGTCTTTTTATAGGATTGAAATTGATGGTAGTTTACGTGATTGAAATCCTATTATTCGAGGAATGCAAGTCAATGGTAGATTCTTTTATATAAGGCTAAAGGTGATAAATATATCATATTGATTTGGTTTTGGACATTGTGATGGAGATTGTTTGTTGTGGTTTGTTATGTGGATTGTTTGGTATCGCTGTTGAGATGCAAATTGTTGTGACTTCTTAAATACATATTGTTTGGTTGGTTGCATATATAGGTCTTTACAAAGGCATACTCGACTTCTCGTTTTTGTTTCTTGTAAGAAAAACTACAAATTATATTGCATTGTTAGCTTGATTAAGATCTTATGGTATCACTCTTGAGATGAAAATTGTTGTGGCTTCTTAAATACATATTGTTTAGTTGCTTGTGGATATCGGTCTTTACAAAGGCATACTCGACTTCTCGTTTTTGTTTCTTGTAAGACAAACTATCAATTATATTGCAATGTTAGTTTGATTAAGATGTTAGCATAGTAATAAATGTATTGAGCTCTTTTAATATTGGGCATTTAGTTTAGCCATTTAGCTAGGTTTACCCTAAATAATTTTCTTATTTATAGTCTTATATACGGGGTAAACACATTTTTCTTAGCAACCCTATCCGTTTTCTCTTGAAAATATAAACCTAGCCGTTTTCATTTTTTTTAGAATATTGTATTGTAGTATATTTTATAAGATTATTGTCATATAATAATTCTTCTTAAAAATATAGAAGTCCACTTCAAAAAAAAAACAAATTAGATAATAATTTTTTATAAAATATTTAAAATAAAAAAAATAAACTAATTTATTTTTAAAATCATTGATAGATATTTTTGTTACATTAAATTAATAAATATCTGATTTAAAAATAAAAAACTTTAAAAGAATATTGACGTTGATGGATATAGTTAAAAGACAATTGGTAGCGAAAACTATATTTTGATTGCATCGGATCCAGAAACTCAAAACAGTTATGGAAAGGAGAGAATCAAACCACAATGTCATACACTATTTCTCAAGAACCCTTTCGTTCTTTAAATTTGTTTTAAAGCATATACATCTGAAAATCTACTCAAAATCTTAATTTGTTTTAATGCATATACATCTGAAAATCTATTCAAAATCTTACTTACATAGAAATTAGGGTTTCCACCGTCTATGAACAACTAAATTTAATTTTGGTAATTTACTATCTTACCATATATAATCAATCAATCTCCTGCTTTCGACATAATAGAGAGCCGACTAGGCCTCGGATGGAAATCAAAGATGCTAAAGCCCGCTTCTCCAAATCGCCTTCCACTGTCCCAATCCTCACAATCGAATTCGTCATCGCCGATCTCCGGGCATACAGTCGGTGCCACTGCTGATAAGACAACTGACTACTGTTGCTGTTCGTACGATTTATCGCACTCTCACTCCTGTGCAAACTACAGCGGAAGGCTTTAGGATTCGTCGCCGACGTTGGCGAACACATGCACATCTTCTTCTGTTCATTATTCGACGCCTTGTTGTTATTCACGTGATTGCCGCTCTGACTCCTTTCTCTGGACGATGAAGACGCAACCGAACGGTCCGTGGAAGCGTTGCGATGGTCAACTTGAACCCGAACGGACGTTGACGCCGAGACGCAACCGCGGTTGATTCTGACTAATGGCGGACCCCACTTATCACTGATCCGATTAGGTGGTGAAGACATGGTCGGAGATGTAGAAGAAGATGACGATATACTGGATGAACAGAACTTTCCAGCACGAGAAACTGAGGGTTGAAACGTTTTGGGTAAGATCGATGCTCCATAAGATTGTGTATTTGAAGTCGCCATCATTGAATTTACAGATGAGATTGAAAAGTTTGGAATTAGGGTTTCTGTTTTTAAGCGATGGGAGTTTGAGTTTTTAACTTGGCAAAGCTGGTGCAAACAGGAGGCCGTATCGTTTATATATATAGTAGTGTGGCTATAAGATTCCGTGGAAGTCGGTTCTGGTTGTTGATCGCAACTCTTGATTACGTCTAACATGGGATATTCAAAATTTAAATGCACTAGCAATAACTATAAACCACATACTATTTTTTTCTTCCGTTCCAAGTTTCCAACCATATACTAAAATAGTATTAGAAATATCTTTGTTAATATTTCAAGAAAAGTAAATTACATAAATGATCTAAAAAACCATATTTGTAGATTTAGTCAAACATTTAAAAAAAATTTAGTTACTATGAAGGTGTAATTTTTGAAACGACGATTTCAATCGACTTTTCAAAAGTTTGAAAAAATATAAACGGTCATAGGCAGACCTATGAAGGAGCTGGGGATAGCCTATGTTACTCCTTAAATTTTGCCGAGTAGTATACAAATTTTCGAAAATTTTCGTTTTAGGTTGCGGTTCTACCCTTAGAAAAAAAAATTGGGCTATCTTTAAAAAAAATAGACTATTCCTAATTTATAAATCCAAATACAAAATAGTCCAAAATATTTAAAATAGTCAAATATGTTTAAGTAGTCCAAACTTTTTAAGCCCAAAAGACAAACCAGTTTAATGAAATAAAGAAAGGTAAAGCCTACTTAATTGTTCGCAAAAAAAAAAGGAAAAGAGTCGAAAAGAAGGAAAACAGGTTGTTGTTGGTTCTTTCCACTCCCTGCGTTCATGCAGCTCCCTGTTGTTGTCAACGACTTGCTGCTGTCGGTGGTCTTTTTCCGGCGAACTCCCCTCTGGTGGTTGACTTGCATAATGAAACAAGTAAGGAAATAAAAAAAAAATCAATCCTATTATTATTGTTAGGTTATTTTGGATTTCCATTATTTGGCATTGTGATGAATAATTAGAAATTAGCAATTATGTTTGTTTAATTATAGGCTTAGGGTTAATAGTTAGCGATTATTTGTTTTTGAAACATGAAATCAAGTTTATAGTTGAAATGTTTTAATTTTAAGGTTCTATTAGCACTTTTTTTCAAAAAAGACAATTAGATGTTGGAGATGACAATGGTGGAGGAACTTTCAAAAGAAATAAGTCTAATAAAAGGATACAAGTTTCGCAGCTTAGTGAACCTACTACAAAACCACAAGAACCACAAGAACCACAACCTAATAAACATACTCAACAACCACAAGTGCCACAAACTTTTGATTTGAATGATCTTCCTTTAGATTCGGGGGATAGCCCAAAGAGTACATCTTATCATTGCAACTTTGAGCCTTTGTGAATCATTTTCTAGGTTTGATAAATTAAAGTTGTTGAAGTTAAGCGAGATGTACAAAAATGATTTTGACGATTCAGAAAAGGTGTATCTTAATGGGTAACTTGATATCTATTATCACTATTTTCTCTATAATGAGAATTTTGTCAACTTGAAGGAAACGACATGCCTCTCTCGTTTGTTGGTGGAAACAGGGAAACTATCTTTTCATTTGGTTTATATATTATTAAAACTAACTTTGGTTTTGCCAGTCGCACCAGCAACCATTGAACGATATATTTCTTCAACAAAGTTGTTGAAAACCGATTTGTTTAATAGAATAAATGATGATATAATGAATGGTGTTTTGATTTATAGTGTAGAAAAGGAAGCACTTGACAATGTTAAGACTGAAAACGTAATTACTTGCTTTCGGAAAATGAAATAGAGAAGATGTCAACTTTAAATTGTAATATATATTCTGTAGTCTATTTTGACACATTGTTATGTCTAATGAAATTGCGGTTTTTTTCATATTATATATTACTCAGGAATTTTTTTATGCTACCCTGAACTTTGACCCTGGCTCTGCCACTGTAAACGATCTCTGTGATCTACAAAACCTACCATATTTTGTCCTTATGTGGAAATTCTTACAAATAAAATCTCTATTTTGAAATTCTTTGCAAAAACGGTCCTTACGAGTTACTCCATTTGTTAAGCGCCGTTAAAACCATACATTTTCTCCTGAAATGGCTAATATACCCATCTCTTTTGATTATCTCTTTCGATCATTGATTCTCTCTTTTCATCCCACCACAATACTGTAACATCCTGATGTTAAACTACTTCTAATTTCAGTCATTTAATTAATTTATGTTGCATTTTAGGTCTTTTAGTTCAAGAAAGTGTAACATCCTAAAATTTAAGACCGAGTTCTTAAATTAATAAAGTAAATAAATGAAAAATGATTTATATAGTTAAATCATCAAGGTATAATCATATCGTTAGTTGATATGAAGTTTGAAAATTTACAAGGGAAAATAATAACATTTTAGAAGTTAAAGGGGGCAAAAGTGTCAAATTAGCAAAGTGAGTTGACCAAAAGGGTTGACTTAGTTATTGGAAAAGACTACAAAAGTTATATAATGGATGGGGAAGTGCTTTGTATGCAAAAACTTAAGTTAAAATCATAAATAATGAAGTTTGGTGGGTTTTGGCCAAAACAAGTAAACTTGAGGGGCCAAATGTGAACAAGTGGGAAATAAGGTGAACACTCCCTTCTTTCTCTTCCAGTTACGTATTGAGCATGCTAGAGTGCTTCAAATGGAGATTTTCTTCTCCTTTGCATCTCGGGTTCGATCCAAGTGAAGAATGAAAAAATCAAACAAAGGAGAGAAGGAATCAAGGCTTGAAAGGTAAAAATCTTCTCATCCTTTAGCTTAGAATTCGAATTTGTGGAGTGGGTCTAACCCCCAATGTCGAAATTAGTATGATTCCTTGATTAGGGCTTAGTTTTCGAACCTCCCTTGAGTTACTTTGATGATCCTAACCTCAATCCAATCATCCCATTGATGGATTTGAGAATTTGGAATGCTCAAACACATCTATGATGGTAGAATGTTACATAAACATGGAATTTATATGGTTTGGGGAAAATATAATGAAACAATGGAATCCTTTGAATTTGAGCATTTGATGAGTATATGATACTCATAATCATGAGTTGATACTAAAAATATGATTTGAATGCAATATCATGAAGGTTTGAGTGATTTATGGTTGAATATATAGAATATTTGGGCATAAGGGTATTTTGGGAAATGTATAGATTACTACATAAAGTTTGACATCTAAGAAGTGAATGACATTCATGAATGTGAATTGACACTATAGAGATGATATTGGAACATAAACACGAATGGATGCTAGTAAGCTTCTAGCTTTAGTGATTTGGGAAACATGGAATGGAATTGAGGATTCCATGGTTAGTTTAAGTACTTGCAATGAGATTAATGGTGGTTTTATCTACTTGACAACACCCAATTATGTATTAAATGATTTTGAAATAAGTCATATTGGTTAAAGAGTGTTTTTGAGCAAATTGAGCTCTTAACCCTTTCATTTGAGTGTTTGTAAGCATTATGAACTTAGCATTTTGATTGAGGAATTAATGAACTAAGTTGAATATTTTGACATGATAAAATATCCTTAAGTAGTGCTTGGAAACCTTTAAAAGTGTTACAAGTGGTTACCTAAAAGACCAAAACCACCCAAGCAAGTTTAGGACTCAAAAAGTGAGTTTTTGGGGGTGTTTGAGCTGCTACAGGACGCGACCCGCGTGGTCTGGCACGCGGCCCGCGCACATACAACAGAGTGCTCAACTAGACTAAAAATCTGAACTTTAGTATTTTCCTCATAACTTTTGCATACAGACTCAGATTTATGCGCGTTTTTTGCCTACATTCATATTTTTGCATAAGGAATGAGATGAAACAATAAAATTTAGTAATGGAACCTTTGAGAGGTATTTTGGTCATTTCAATTACTTGTGTCCATGTTATATAGGTGTTGATTGAGAGTGCTTCAATAAGGAAAGGAACTAGAAGAAGAGTAGCTATCCTACGTGTGATTAAGGTGAGTACGTGTTGGCATTTTTCCCACTTTGGGGTACATGTCAAAATTATTTTATGATAATGAAATGCAATGCTTTGATATATGAAATGTTTTGAAACGAAAGCGTCAAATGTTTTTGGAAAAGGGTATTTTGAAAGAGTGCCTTAAATGCAAGAATGTTTTTGAAAGAAAAGAGCGTTTTGGAAGATCGAATGTTTTGAAATTATGATTGAAATGTTTTGAAATATAGATGCTTTACTTTTGAAATGATTTTATGATAATAATGTATGAAATGTGTAAAGCATGGAAAGTAATGAAAATAAATGTACAAAATGAAAAGGAATGGAAAGTAATGAAAGGAATTGGAAAGTAATGAAATGAAAACTACCCGGGCCATGATACCTCGTAAGAGGCACTAGAGGAATCTATCGGGGTGGCGCCTCCCCTTCACGAGATAGATGTACTAATGGAAATGATGCCTTGGTGGATTGATTTGTTCTTTCCACCTTGGTCTAGACTTGGGAGTGGTTCCTCTATTGGACGTAGACCCTAAGTATAAAAATGGTAACGGTATAATACCAGAATTAGCCCTTAATGATAAAAGAAAATGAAATATGGAAATATGTCTTTTGAATTGAAATGAAAGGAAATGAAATGAGAAGATATGAAATGATATTTATGACATGTATGAAATGAGTTTTCCTTGAAAATGCTTGAAAATGTTTTATGGTCTAAAACTATGCTTTGAAAAGATGAAACGTTTTTGATGAAAAAGTGATAAATGTTTTGGGTCTCAAACCCACGTAGCTCACGAACATTATTGTCCTACGTATCTCTTTTTAATGCCATGTATCTTAGGTTACACTTAATTAGAGAGAATGATAGATGGAAGTTAGAAGTCAAGTGATAGAGAATGGAGTGGAACTTGTTAAGTTCCTTATTAATTGTATTGATGTAATTCTTATTTGCTTACTAGAGTTTTATTAATGCTTAATGGTAACACCCATTGTTTTAAAATTTGTAAATGTTTTT